TCCATCATAGAGACACTGGGACATGTCTTGGTCCATCATAGAGACACTGGGACATGTCTTGGTCCATCATAGAGACACTGGGACATGTCTCGGTCCATCATAGAGACACTGGGACATGTCTCCACTTGGAGCCAGCTTCAGGAGGAGCAGTTGTCCTGTTTGGACCTGTTTGGTTGTTGGAGACACGTGTCTCTCTCTGCAGTATTATGATAAACAGGAGCTTCTCCATCACATGCTGAAGAAGGAGGACCTGATAAGACGGGACAGACCCGTCTAAACAAACCCGTGCTGTGGTTCTGGAGTATTTGGTCCCATTAACAGAATGTTTCCTCTCTGCTTATCATCAAACATCTTTTAGTCATTTGTCACTTGATGTCCTTGTCTGTGAAGGATGAGGGTTGAAACGATAACGTCTCACTCTGTTTTCTGTTTAAAATGTTTTATGATGAATATTTCAGCCACAGCTCAGGAACTCAGCGCTYATTGTTCATGATCCTGGTTCTGTCCGGTCCTTCTGCTCAGAATAGAACTCACTTGAACAGAACCCAGCTGAATTAGCAGTTTCACTGAAGTTCTGTTCAGGTTTTAGAACATTTGAAAGACTTTGCTGAGATGTTTTTAAACCTGATCCTTCTTCTCTTCTTCTCATCCATGTTTTATGTAAACAGACGGTTCAGAGTTCTGTCCTGGTTCTGTTTAATATTGGACACAAACTAATTAATAAGAGCCAACGACCTTCAGAACCTGCTGGTCCAGATGAAAAGTCTGGATGAGTGCAGTGAGAACAGGAAGAGATGAGTTGTTTCACAGTTCTGTGTTGAGGCTCAGCAGCAGACACAAAGCTGGAAACAGTTGGATCAGAACTCCTCCTGGTTTTGTGTCGGAGCTTTTTATTGTCAGAGTAACCTGGAGGGCCAGATGGTTTGTTCCATAGAAACATCTGGAAACTTCTCCCCAAAACCCACTGGGGAAAAGGGCAGCCATTTCCAATAAATACTTGGCAGGTGATTGAATGAAGCATCTGTCCATCAACGTCCCGAGTGAACTTCAATTAATGACAGGAAGCAAGCGGAGCTGCAGTCAGAGCAGGAGCTGCCATTGTTGATCCTCGTCATGTCTGCAGCTGTTGGAGGAACAAACTGTTAGACAGGCTCCGAGTCGATCGGCCTGGATTATCAGATCACTCTGASGGAAAAACAGCTCAAACTTTCTCTTACGTTTTATTTTGAAAAGTAAACATAGAAGGAACTGTGTGAGTTCTGTCAGAGCCCACAGGTCCAGGAGAGACCCAGACCTCCCTCTCCTCAGAGACTCTCCAGGTCCTCCTGAGGGACCCTGAGGTGTTCCCAGACCAGAGAGGATCTATAATCCCTCCAAAGAGTTCTCTTTTCCTCGTGGGTCGTGCCTGGAAGAGGGCAAGACCCTGCACTAAAAACTGTCCATCTTACCAAGTTTTAAACCTTATATCAGCCAAAAATTCTTTTTGATCTTGATTTCAGACTGATTTACTAAACAAGAACTG